TATTTCCCTTTTCAAACTCATTCGATGAATTTATTACTGGACAATAACGAGTTAATTTTAAATGGGGGAATAAATCTTACTTAATGAACTTTGAAATATTTCAGAATTCCACTCGTACAAGAAATGTTTTACTGGACAAGAATGAGTTTTAATGGCGCAATATTTTTGTTTTTAAATAAAATTTGCTTATGTAAGCTGCCTATTAATAATGTTCAACTCTATCAGGAGTTTCAAGAAATATAGGCGAAAAAAACGATTAAAGACTATACAAAAAACTGTCTAACTTGCGAATAGATATAGGAAGATGTGGTATGGGTGCCAATGAGACAACTCTCCATCCAAGTTACAATTTATAAAAGTAAACCATTGAGCCTATTTTGATATTCTATATAACAAAATAGTGATTCTTTTTGTAGATTTAGAACTTTGAACACAAACATTTCTATTGAAACTGGTAGATGGCAAAATAATCAGAGAACATTTAATTTGTACTTTATGTAATTCCGGTGATATTGGCGACAAGTTTCATTATGTTTTAGAATGTTCGGCAATAGGCAACAGTAGACAAACGCTGTTAAAACGGGGTTCTGATCTTCAAGGAAGCCACATTTTATAATGAATTCGATCTATATTTTTTTAATCTTTTCAAATGAAATAAATTGAATGGAAAATTTTTCGACTTTGTGAAGATTTCTCAATTGGCTTCAATTATTACAAACAAAACGAAAAGTTTATTGAACATTTTTGCAAAAACAATATATGTTTATTACTTTTCAAAGGAACCCTTTTTAATGGTTTACCAAGTTTACTTGTATGTGTTTATTACGATCGCTAATCACAGTGACACTCCTAATTATTAAAGATCAAACGACCTAATCAACACGATAATTTGTATTGAATATGATCATCTGTCGTGCATGACATGTCCCAAATAACGGCTCGTGCCGATAAAAACTTAAATAACTTCTCAAATATTGAATTGATTTTATCAAAACAAAAAATATAAGATCAAAAATTAAATTACCTATCGAATGCATATCCTTAACGCTCACTAAAACATCTTTAAATGTCCTGGGTGCATTTTTTATGTCCTGAGTGCACTCAGGAGGTCCTGAGCGGTATCTAGACGTACCGCTAATTAACCCAGCGTAGACAACTTATTTAGCAAAAGTTAATCGTGCATGACTAATAACACATGTAGCACTTAGAAGCAGGGGGTCTTAAATAGGATCGGGAAAAACAGGCAAGTGAAATACCATAATTTCAAACATTTAAAGTGCCTTTGATTGATTATCTCCGGTTATATCGATAATCTGACGGTATTAGAGTACAAATCCAGACTTTGCTTACATCAGCTTCATCTGAACTTTGGGGGCATTTATCTACCGTTGAAAAAAGGGGTAGGTTGGGGTCGTAATAGCTTACCGTAAGGTTTTAATCATGGTTTAACTTTATTTTAGTGACTTTTATCCTTGCCAAAGATCAATCTTATTCCAAACGGACGTAACTTTTCAGCAAGGTTTACTGTCGAGCAGGAAAAGTCAAGAGAGGACAATATTTCTATACTCAAGTCAACCCTTTGGGTTCGAATAAAAGGGTATAAGGGGAAATATTGATGAGACAACAACCCAACGACCGACAGACAATCAAGACATTTATATATAATTAGAGTCAACATGCAGTATTTTATAATATAGAGATCCCTATACAAAATATCAAGCTAAAAACCGCCCCATGTATAAATAAAGTAAGGAGCTAATTTAATATTACCTATCATTGAAGATATCCCAACAGGCACAGCAATATTTTGTGTGGATGAAAAGTTTAACCATCCCATTTTTTAATCTCTATCAGTGGAAATCAAAACAGGTACATGAAATAAAAATCAGTACAAGAAATTTCACTATATATTAACGGTAGAGTAGATGATGAACGTGGATCTTTGTTTATAATCATTAATGCCACTGGCTTAGCGGAGGAACATCAAGTACACATTTTGACGTCTTTGGATTGACCAGGCCGGGGTTCGAACCCACGACCTCCCGCACTAGAGGCAGAAACATTACCACGAGAAATCCGAAGCTGTCAGAAAATAGAATATCATACCAAAAAACTAAAGTGCAATAGAACTCTCTCGTTTATTTAAGCCAGCAAAAAGTATTTATTAACCAGTTGATATCATTGAAAACTTCACTTGAATATCGATGGTCGATTTCAGAGTAGATTTCATGCATGCACGCTTTCTGTACATTATGTACTCTTGCAGCAATTATTTGAGGGATCCGTGTGTGGCCAGCTGTTGCAAGGCTAAATTTCTGTTTTTATCCAATATACCCTCATTTTTCAGTGGCATTCCAAGTTTTATGTCCATCCTCACAGTCGACCTTTTAATTTTGCTCTAAAGGGCCTACCTATTGTATTTATAATTAATGTGTTCTCGTTATGAACATGCATAAAATATTTGCCACAGGACGTAAAACAAACAACTTTATCTAACAACTTCACAAATAATTCCTTGTAAACATTATACAAAGGCAAGATATTGCACAATGCTATAAAGCAATATTTCCATGTATATGTTTCGATAATTATGGGAACTTTAACGGCCTTTTTTCAGTTATCTCTTTGAAAACCACTACATGGATGAACAGTAATATCTATTTCTTTTTTAGATTTTTTTCTTTCGTTCTTAGATCTATTTAACTGTTCACGGTCTATCATATAAGATTATGTCAATTTATTATGGAACTAAGACATGTAAGAATAAATTTTCAAAGGGTGATTTCTTAGTTAAGACATGTGAAGGAAATGACGGAAGACTAAAATAAAAGTGTTTATTTTCATGTAATACAGTGTATTTCAATTTAAGAACGATTGTCAATCTTGCCAAAATATCTCATCTATAGCCACTTAAACCTTCATAAATATATTACATTTTATAGGCCTTTTCAATACGATTTTGTTCATTGAAGTTAACAGGCACAGTTTTGAATTAAGACAAACAAACAAAACAAAATGTATTAGTCAATCCGACTGGACAGAGAACATTTATTACTTTTTGCATTTGCATGTCACGTAGTGCAGGCAAAAAACATAATCAAAACCAAAATGAACATTTATCTGAATATTCTCAAGGACCCTATGCATCTAGGTCTGTTTGATTAGAAGTTGTGTTACAATCTGTTTAAATTTTTAATTGTTGGAGGAGATTTCCTTAACTGTTTTCGTATGATCTGGTCTTTAAAATTCCAAGGTCGTCAATAACATGCATGAAATATTTGCCACTTAACGTTCAGCAAATATCAATGAAAAGAAATCCAGACATGAAACGGAAATTACCGAAAATAACCATTGGATATATTGCATTATCGACAACTTTATATGATATTGAAATGTCATTCATTTTGTTTAGTACGATTCACCAATTAGAATGCAAAAATAATGATTTGATACAAGTAAATCATTTCGGAATCGCTGTGATAAATATGAGACTGCAATCCAACAATACAAACTAAACTGTTGTTATTGTCTTAATATCTTTCCTATTGATTTGTGATGCTCCTTAGTCTGGACCACACAAATTATTTGCATTGACAATCGTTACAGTATTGCAAACGTTTGTAAAATACCAACAAAACTGACAAAACAATCTTAGATGACAAAACGTATCCAAATTTTATCCTATAGGAGAAAAAAATAATCATATAGGACAGAATTTATCCTAAGGGAGAACAAAGTATCCTACAGGACAAAATTTATCCTAAGGGAGAGAAAAAAAATCCGGTAGGAGAAAAAACATCCCACAGGACAAAATAAATCCCTTAGGAGAAAAAATATCCCTAAGGGACATTTGTTTCTGAGAAAAAGTCGTTTATAATAATCCTATAGGATAAAAAAAAAACCATCGGATTTAACACTTTTTTTTTAAATCCTACAGGATTTTAAATCCCGTAGGATATTAATTTTATCCCATAGGAGATAAATTTTCCTATAAGATATATTAAAAATGTCCTACGGGTTTATGACTTTATCCTCTAGGATTTCATAAAATCCTATGGGAGAAAATAGTATCCTACAGGATTTTGTCACAGTTTTCACTCCAGTTGCCGAACCAGGAGAGTCACACCAAAAGACTTTTTGTATTGTTTTACCTATCCCCAGAGGTAAATTATTGCAAAATTTGATGATTCTACCGTTAAAAAAAGTGTGGTTCCAATTTGCACTCATGAGAAGTGCAAATTAATCCAAGAACATGTTAATTGCACTTTGATTCCGCATTCGAGTTTTTATTTTCAGTTGCTAGACTGTTCTTTGGTCGGGTTGTTGTCTCTGTGACACATACCCCGTTTCCATTCCCTATTCTCGAATCGACTAACAGATGTTTCAACATCCTTATTGGCAATTTCTACGATTTTAAGTTTGACTACTTCCTAATAAAATTTTAAATCGCGGACAGTACGATGTGATATGTAATAAATTTTCATATTTACAAGATTTGTAGTTGAAACTTGGTTTTTTTTCAAACGGCATGTAAAATATCATTTAAACAACTCAATATATCGTTTAAGGTTTTGAAGGTCTAATAAAATTGTCTAACACTCCAGACAAGCTTTTTGTTTCATTTAACAGTTTTCAGATAATTGTGTTACAAGGAAAAGTATTCAAAGCATTAGTTTGCAACTGAATAGCTATAAATGTCCGTAAGTATAGAAAACACTACAACACGGGTAATTAAATTACTACTTTATAGTAAATCGAAGAGTACCCTAGATGAATGAAGTAAAAACACGTTATTTGCTAGCAAGAAAGTGATATAAACCGTTTTAAACCTATTCAGACTGTCAAGTCGAAACACTGTATAAGATTAAATGTTAAAGGCATTCGCAGTTTTCTTGCACGTCTAATGTCTAAGAATATTTTCGATTTTTTCTTTTTGTTTATATTTCATCAATTTGGGGACTGTCATTGTAATTATGAAAGATCAAAAGTGTAACTATTACCTGAAACATTATTCGGGGTAGGTGACATTACAAATCCTGTTGATATGTCTGCCAATAAAGAAACAAAACAAATAAATGAATGAATACACATGAAATAAAAATAAATGCGTAGTACAGCGCAACTGTAAAAGTTCGTTTATACTGCAGAATGATAAGGAAACACCCCAATAGGCTTTTGTTTTTTTACAACTAATCAGGTTTGATTATTTTTTAATAAAGATTCATTTACAAAACACATTGATAACACGCCACAGATGCTCTATTTGGTTGTCAAAATGTAAAGAACGCATTAACTTCCATGGAGGTGATATAATATGCTATTTCAGATCATATATGCTAGTATTCATGATATTTCAGATAATGTAGGCTAGTATTTGAGCTTCGAAGGTCAAATATTGGCTTCTCGGCTCGAATAATCGGACTGTTGCCTAATAACAAAGGAAGAGGTCCGTTATGAATCAAATAAGCTTGGATTACTGCGGTTTATTTGGATTCCTGTAGTTAACATCGTGGTTTGTATCAATAACGTTACAGATTTGCATGAATACATTATGTATATATAAACTTACTTTAACGATTTTTCTTACTTTAGAATAAGGGAAGTTGAATATTCTATGATGTCTTTTTACGACCGAACATCCAAAAAATCCAAGGTTTTAAGATCCGGTGTTGTTTCCAGATTCCGATGTTTAGTTTAATCACATAAACCTTTCGTATTGAACGCTGTGTATGTTTTAAAAATAGACGTTTTATCAAAATAAAAGTTTACGAAAACATTTGTGAAAACAACATCATATTTCCGTTGACAATTTTGTTCTGCTTAACATCAAGAAAAAAAGGTAGAATTTCTTTATATACACGAAGGAAACGGATTAACATCTTATAGTAATACTTTCCAAAAATGATTATTCCTTCAGGTTATTATAGTTCATTGGTGTGCATAAAAGAGTGCAACAACATTATAATATAAAATTTCCGTGATGTTGTTTTTCTGCTTGTCGATAAGTGTCAGATTATTATTTTGCCTAGCCGAAGGACAATAAAGCGAAGGCTTGAAACTTCCGACTAGGAATATTAAGTATATATATCCATGTATATTTTTCAATAGATTTATTGTCACAAAACCCCTTTATTTGTGAACAAGGTAGACACTTCGTTATATAACTTGCAAACAAATTTAACATTGTTTGTACACTTTTGTTTTGTTCAAATTGCACATGAAAGTAACTTATCGAAACTGTTTTAAACATGTGCAAAGGTATGCACATTAAATATTTGCTTCTATTGTAAGACCTATGCATCAATTGTATAATGTACAATAGCAATAACGAAACACCCGTTATGTTGCATTGAAACGGACTTTGAGTGTACATCGTCCGAAACGTTTACGTGGTTTAGTTAGTCAGTCACTAGGGTGTATGTCGGTCTCTTTGAACATAATCAAATCAACAAACATAAGATTAATAAATGAAAATTAAATCAATTTTATAAAACAAAAGCTACAGATTTAGCTAGTTGTAGATAAGTTTAGTAGATTGTGATTACCCTATAATACAGGAAATGAACGCAGCATCAAACATACAACCGAACAACTATCGCAACATTTTGCACGCGTGAAAGATTTTTTAACTACTGCATGTCATTTCATAATATACTCCTCCTCCAAGTAACTTATTTTAAAACTAATTGATGATAAAAAGAATAAAATCATCTTTTTGTACTAACTTCATCAGATCGTCCTAGCGAGCTCCCTTGTTTTCCATGACGTCGGTAACAAACACATAAACATCATAATTCTATACATTCCAAGTTTTAAGGAAGACTGGGGGTCAATTAGAACACATTCATATAATCCTGTAGTAGTAAAACATAGCTTAAGACAACCAAACAGATGTTTTGTAATTTATTTCCATCCTACAAGCTCTTTAGTTAAAACCTTTTTTGTTCAAAAGGCATATCATACGCATTCCATTCACTAGGTGGCGCTCCGAAAGATTGACAACTCTACTACTTTTGAGATAAATTTAATGCTTACGGTATGCATAATTTTCAAAAATAGATATTTCGATATGAAGCAAGTTATAAATATATAGATGAAAGTATTTTTTTGGATTGCTTAACGTAAAGCCTTAATGTTCTCAAAGGAATAATGAAAGAAATATTTTATTCTGCTAGAATTTTCCCTTTGTAATCAACCCTTCCAGCGAGGTCACATTTTATTTATTTCTTCATGCTTTCAAGCTACTTAATGTGTTGTTTTTTTTTTTGCTGTTTCAGTTGAATGTTTTCTTATCGAAAAAGCGGAATACGGTATAAAACTATCGTTTTAGATATTCGAAGATCTAATAAAATGTTCATTTTATAGAATTCAAATAATTGTATTACAGGGTAGAGTATCCATAACATTATTTGCAACTATATAACTATAAACGTCTGTAAGTATTAAAAACACTACAACACGAGTAATGTTATTACTACTTTATAATAATTCAAAGAGTACTCGAAGGGACTGAACGTAATTAGAGTACCATGTAAGAAATCGTCATTTGACAAAAAATATGATATGTATTACATTATATCCATACATTCTGTTTTTGTTTTTTTTTATGGGAATGGATTAGGGTATTTTAACTGTGATATACCTATTCAGACTGTAAAGCCGACGAACTGTGTTAGAATACACGTAAGAGGCATTCTCAACTTTGGAGTGTACTTGTATTAACGTCTAATGTCTTAGAATATTTTTATTTTTGTATTTTTGTATTTTATTCTATCATTTTGAGGATTGTCATCGTAAATGTGAAAGATCAAATGTGTTACATAGTATATTTGTACCTGAAACATAATTTTGGGTAGATGGCTCCTTAGATCCTGTTGGTATATCTGCCAATAAAGAAATGAAACAAAGATAGAAACATACAAATAAATCAGTATTTTTTAAAATCAAAATCTAACCTTTTATAACAATTTGGTTTAAGTGTGAAATATCGTTTATATTTCAAACTGAACTGAAGAAAATCAACAATACATTGTCTCGATTTTTTAAAATGAATCAACCATGAAATTCATTTAATAAAGATTAAAAACACACATTTTTAACACTTCATAGAGGCTGTTTTTTAATTGTTAATATGTAAAGAACGCATGGACTACAATGGAGGAGGGAAATATGCTCATTCGGATGTTATAGGTAAAAGCTGGAGCTACTTAGCTAAAATATTGGCTTCTCTGCTCAAAATCTGGGACGTTACCGTTACACTAAATAAAGAGTTCCGTTATGACCCGAATAAGGTTGATTCGACCTTGGCTACATTAATTTTTGTTATTGTGCTTTAAATGATTTTCTGTGGTAGATATCTAGTGTGTGTCATCTAAGTTTCAGGTTCGACGGACAAAGGAGTATATCATGTAAAAATAATCTTAGTTAAACTATTTTCTTGATTTTATAATAAGGGAAGTTGAATATTCTATGTCTTTCACGGCCGAACGTCAAAGACATCCCTAGGGTTTTAAAACCGGTGTTGTTTCCAAAATCCGATGTTTTGGTTTGTTTACATGACCCTTTTGTAATGGACACTTTGTTTATGTGAAACAGACGTTTTGTCAAATGAAATTCAAAAAAGTATTGGTGAAATCAACATCGTATTTCCGTTTACTTTAAATTTATGTTCTGCAAAAATAAAAATAAAAACAGAAAAAGGTGGAGTCTCATGTATATACACAAAGAAAAGGATGAACATCGTAAAATTATACGTTCCAAATATGATTATTAATTCAGTTCATTTTAGTTTATTGGTGCCCATTATATCAAATCAATGCTTATTCCCACATAGATTGAACGTCACAAGGCCCTTTGACAAGGTAAGAAAACCGTTATTTAATAACCTGGCAACATAATTAGCATTGTATGTATATTTTTGTTCTTTTCAAAGTGCGCATGAAAGTAACGCATCGAAAATGTTTTAAACATGTGTAACTGGTGTACATTTAATATTTGCTTATATTGATAGACCTATAAATGAGTCGTATAATGAAAAATAACAACAACAAAACACGAGTTATCTTGTATTTACACGTTCTTTAAGTGTACATCGTACAAGACATTATGTGACGTTCAGGTTCTAGGGGCATGTCGATCTGTTGGTAAAAAAGCAAAAATTGATATATACTGGGTTAACTGGTAACCCTATCTTAAATATTTCATATCAGTAATTAGTTATCGTTATTTTATAAATTGTACATATTGAAGATAAGGTCAAGGCAGATTAATAAAATTGAATAAGTTATACGGATAATCAAAATCAACAAACATAAGATTTGTTAATGATGATTGACATTACTTGTATTAAAAATACTACTTGTGGATAAGTTAAATAAATAACGTTTAATCTATGACATCTAATCCTTCATCTTAATGTTGGATTATATTTACAAAATAATAAAAGTTTGGAAATGCAAGTGAACTTATCACGGATATAATATTAACAAGTTCAAATATGTTTTAGCAAAGCGACCTGTTACTGGTAATCGAAATACATTAATTTAAATGTTCTAAACAGGTACGTATACAAACTCTTTGTTAACGCACATAAAACACTTACCACTACATTGATACGTAACCGTAATAGTTTTGCTGGTAACGTAACAGTCTTTATATCCGCTTATAAAATCAAACATATTGAATTTACATTGATCCGATTTGTTGACGTTTCTACACAATGTGTTCAGCTCACTTTCAATAGATTTTTCAGAACAGTTTTTCTGACTGATTAAGTGTTTTGGTTCCAGTGATATATTAATGTCACTCGCAAGGAATTGCTGTTCACATTCTATTTTAATTGGTCTATTCATATCCATGCAAGTTGTAGTCATTCGTTTTCTTTCATTTAAAGAGAAAATTGTATCTATGTATGCAAGTTAACCATTTTTAATTAGTTCAGTATGTAATGTTCATATCCGAAACGTATTTAACCATAGTGTTATATCTTCACCTAATGAGTACATACGATTAGTGAAACAACTATGAACTATTCATAGAGCATAATCCCAAAATGTTAAGGATCAGCCCATTTGCAAATTTGAAGAGGTAATAATGACCTTAAGCTAGTTGTTTTCTAAGTGTTAATATGTATACAAAGCAAATATCGTAAATCTGCCATATTTCTTTTGTATTTTGATGGCAGCAGACATTTATTTTGCTGTTTTTCTCCTAGTAACAGCTTTTGTTTTGTAACATGTCGAAAAGATATGATAACCAACAATCATTCCGCTTTTGAAATATACCCTATTTAATTGATTGATTGATTATTGGTTGCCTAAAGTCCAGTGGCAAATATTTCATGCATTTTCAGGACGAGAACAAATTAACAATAAATACAATATGTAGGTCCTGTTATAGAGGCAGTCGGGGATGAAGGTCGTGGTAATTTAGACTGCCACTTGAAAAATAAGGGTGTATAGGATAGGGACAGAAATTTTGTCTTACAACAGGCCACCTACGGATCCCTCAAAGAGTTGTTGCAAGGGTTCTGAACGTGCAGAGAGCGTGGCACTCTGTCTACGCGAAGTATCGGATTTAACGTCTCCATTCTGACCGGACGTGGCTGTGTACTTGTACATCAGGCACAGCCAAACAGAAGCCCCACTTTGTCTAGGTTTTACAGCCAGTCAGAGGAAGACCCGTAGTGACAATATTTCTATTCCCCAGTCATAATTGGGGAACCCTATTCAACTGAACACTTTTCCATATGAGTGTTATCTTCTCTTATACTGTTTTCATTTGTATTGCTTTACATACAACATGTACAAGCCGTAAAATATATAACTTAAATATTTTTCATAAAAATTTTTTCGTTACTTGTTAAGAATGATCTATTAAAAAAGTAAACCGAAGGGGTCAGTTTATATGTAATTTGAGATTTTTCCATTGTTATTTGTCGTTGACTTGGGTGGTATGTTCGTGTAACTCATAAATAGAAGTCATTGAGAACTAGAGTCTTTTAAGATGTGTTTCTTGGTCCGTAAGCAGAAAATTGAGGCCAAGGCAAAGTTCAAAGGTCAGGGTCATGTCCTCAATTGTGAACTTTGCTGTTATCGCAACTCCTCTGAAACCGAAAAGTTATCGACAAATGTTTCTTTGTAGAATTGTCAATTGACGCTAAAATGGAGATAAGTCAATACCGTCAATTTTACTTCTTTCTTGCGTGAGCAAGTTACTAGAAAAAATAATATTTAAACATATGTTCAATCTTTTAGTTTCTAATAAACTTTTGTATAAATTTCAGTCTGGTTTCATACCCGGCTGCTCTAATTTTCATTAACTTAATGAGATGTACCATTTTATCTTGTATGCTTTTGACAATTAATTTTATACAAGTTTAACATTTGCTGATGTTAGCAAGGCATTCGATCGAGTCTGGATAAGGGTCTTACTTCTTAAGTCAGTAAGATATGGTATCAAAGGCAGGCTGTTATTATGGCTTGAAAGTTACTTGACTAATAAAACTCAGAGGGTAGTATTAAAAGAGGCGACTTCCGAATTCGCCAATCGTAAAGCTGGGGTTCCACAAGGCTCGGTACTGTGTCCCCTTTTATTTCAAGTCTTCATTAAAGACATTGCAGATGATATGATAGTTTAAAATAATGTTTGCAAATGATACATCTTTTGGACATACTGCTCCAGATGAAATTACTCTTCAATGCATGATAAATATTGATTTACAAAATTTTTATTCCTGGGCAAATGATTGGCTAGTTGAATTCAATCCAAATAAAACTAATATGATGTTAATCAGTATCAAACATAACTTGATTTTTTATTTTAGTGGAGTTCAGATAGAAACAGTTACTAGTCACAAGCATTTAGGTTTTTTTTAGTAGTGGCTGCAAGTGGACCAAGCATATAGATAACTTAATAGAAAAGGTTTCTTAACAATTCGTAGACGTTTGAAATTCCGGTTAAAAATGGGAATATTTAGGAAAAAAATATGTTTGACTTTTATGAGGCCCGTTCTTGGTTATTCTTTTTAAGTTTGTGATAATTGTAGACCAAAGAATTCTGACAGATCAGAAAGATTACAACTAGAATCAGCACGTATTGTCACCGGTCTAACAAGCTACGCTAGCACTCAATCACTTTATTTATTTACGGGATGGGAAAAGTTAAAGAAAAGACGGGCAGTTATAACATCAACTCTATTATACAAAATTATGAATGAGGATGTTCCTGAATACTCATTAGATTTAATATATCTTACCGTGGCAGAAAGAAACAATTACAATCTACGAAATATTAAAAATATATACCACACTTCCAGCAGATTGTCCTTTTATCAAGAATATTTTATTCCATCTAGTAATAAACTGTGGAATTCTCTCGATATAAGTAATAGAAATGATCTCTATTTAAATATGTTAAAATTGAAAATTAAACAGAAATATCATAAATAAAAACAGGTCACCCCCTACATATTACACATATGGCGATAGATATTTAAATGTTTTGCACGCAAGATTAAAAAAATAAATGCAGTGCGCTTAACATGGATCTGTATCATGCAAATATTAAACCCTACGCAATGTGTCAACGTGGATATGTATAGGAAAATACTCAACATTATTTCTTCTCATGTAAAAATTATACAGCTCAAAGGAATACCTTTTTTTTTTAACTTAAAAAAGGAATATACCTACTGATTTGAAAACTCAGATGTATGGTAAAAGCATGTATAATAAAGACTTAAACACGCTAATTTTATCAAAGTACAAATTTATCTTAAAGAGACCAATCGCTTTTCATAGTGTATAGACATTATTGCTAATAAAATAAACATTTGTAGTGTATTTACTTGTTTCGTTGACTTCGAATGACATTCTTTAGTTTATCAAGAGAAATGTATCATTCATTTGATTTTATATATAATATCCTATAAGCAGGATAAGTTGACATCAACAATTTGATTGCTTTAAAAATAAAAACTTACCTTTCGAGTGAATATGTATTCCCAGATTAAAACATCCTGCTTGGTTTTTGATAAATAAATTTACGGTCAACGCGACTAAAAATCGATGATGCACGTCGTTTCAATTCTTTTTTATTTTATGTCTCCATTTTAATATTGTATATGATGTTATTCACATGTATTTAATTTTGTTTTGTTATTAGTTGTATGTAATTGAGAAGACGTTCTATGTTGTAAAACTTGTGTCTGATCTTATTGTCATTGTTTTTGGACAATAACATATGTTTCAACTAACCATATATTTGTTTAGAATCAGAGTGAAGTAATTATTTATGAAACTAGATGTAACATTATGTAAATAATCTCCCTTATTACCTAAGTATACAGAAACAATATAAATGTCAAATCATTCTAATATAAGGTATCGTATGACATCGGAAGTGGCATTTTGTAAACCGGAAGTATTCAATTATCTCGCTTATTGCAAATGGATATAAATAGAAGCCATATCTTTTTCGAATCATTGAAAAGTATGTAACCAGTTGACATCGGAATTGACTTTTTTAACCGGCAATGGCTGATCATCTCTTACATTTAAAAGAAAAGAATTGCCATCTATATGTTTTACGGATATGTGCAAGGTGAATTATCTTCTAATACCGTTTTTTAACAAAATTTTCTTTTTTGAGAAAAATTTGCTTATCGATATAAAAGTTCATTTAAGCCTTCATTATCAACATGTTAAACAAAAATACTTTCAACTGATTGAAATCTGTCATTCAATAGATAATTTCCTAACCTGTCTATCACTTAACAATTTTTTTCCAGAGAACTGAATGCAACATCTTGACAATTAATTAGGCAAATAATAACTATCAATGTATAATTAAAAAGCCTCTATTTTCACTTAATTATTTTACATTTATGTTAGCTTTTGTTGATATTATCCTAGTTCACATTTACCTTGACAATGCCTATGCGCTATCGATGTATCATCTACCAGAATAGCACGTACTACTTTTGAATTACTATACTTGAAGTGTGCTTCCAAGGTTATCTTGAAAGGAACTTGTTCATATACATCTACCGATATGTTGATCCATTGGCCTAAAGATGTAGAATTACCCTCCGCGGTAAATAGTAAAGCCTGATTTTCGTCAGAAATCTTGAAAATACTAAAAGAGCAATCATAACTATTTTGATAAATTTGGTACCAAAGTGACAAACATATGGGTTCCATGAATTCATTATCCGTGGCAATACGTTCTGTACCAGCTCTACCAGAGTAAGAAATAACATACATACTATAACCGTAAGAGCCTGAAAGAAAGATATGAATTATATTCACGCATTCATCTACAACATGTAAAATCGTATGAAATGTCAAGCAATTTTCATTTTTTTTATGAATATTCAGCAATTTAAATTAATGCCAGGAGACATGGTATAGTATAACTCTCCTTTTATAGTAACACAAATGGGTAGCATAGTCTACCCTTTGATAAAATACACGACAAAATACAAATACATGTCATACAATGAATGATATCGCGTCTTGTACACAAAATAGACCTGCATGAGATGGTTTGATTGAGAATGAAAGCAAAGATAAAGATGTTGCTCCGTCTTTATTCTATTTTGTTGTGATTTGTGTACTGTTGTTTGTCTGGGTTTTTTTTTTTTTCTTTTTTAACCATGGCGTTGTCAGTTTGTTTTCGACTTAGGAGTTTGAATGTCCTTTTGATATCTTTCGCCTCTCTTATACAAGTTGTTCATACCTGGTCTTGATATCATGGTATGATCTATCAATAAATTTCTACGATGCCATGTGAAACTATTTGAAGATACGTTCATCATGTTCATCCAATCTCCAAAATCCTTCTCAAACGTACTTATGCTTGTTCCGTTTTCTGAAATGAGTTGAATTTGATTATCAGTTAATATATATATATATATATCATGTAATTATAAGTCGTATATAACAATAATAAAATAAAACATGTTTTCACTAAAGATCCTTTCTTTACCAATTTCAATATCATTAAACCCGATATAAATACAAGCCAAATTAAATCTTATTTTAAACTGCAACAACACTATTTGAACAATCAAAATAAAGTGAATTGACAAATAAAAATGTGTTTATGATACTATACTTCAATCTATTAATGCATGGAAATATTCGTATTATGATACTTCAAATAGTTAAACTGACTACCTATCATGAAAAGTAAGCAGCTCAAGGCGAACGATATTTAATGACGAATTGCTCCTATGCACATAATGATCACCTTAGATATTTGTAGAATGGATGGTAGGTCTATAAAGTTGTAGTTGTATTTTATATAAATATAAATTAAGTTCATGTCGTAAATAAAATTAATGGACTCATTAGAAGGATGTCCTACTATAAAAATGGTCACTACATCAAGAACATAGACTTAATTTTGCAGGTACCAAAAAAAAATGGCAAAAACATTTCACTTCCAACATTACAATTTTAACCCATGATTAGTAGCTTTCAGTTGTAATGAAATCATTATCTTTTGTAATATCCTTTTATAGAGGGATGTAAAGGACATCGACTTGCTTAATCCACTATCAAAAGAAAAGACGATCAGATAGCAAAAGATAGCAAAAAAATTGAAAAGAACTCAGATACTCTGAAAGAGTAATAATCAATCTGAAAATTAATACGTTTCAATGTGATATTATTTGATGATACTTTCGTCAAATCTACAAAATCCTAGTGGAAAATTTTCTCTAAGGCAATAATGCAAAATCAAATGAATATATATCGATTTACCGTATTGGTGTTTTGAGTAGGACGTAGTATGAAATGGAGATTTCATGTTTTTAAACATAGAAAATGACTTAATAGTAAATTGCAAATATATGTAACAAAAAGGTAATTGTAGATGAATTTATATTATAGTACTTAATATATGAAAAATACAAATCAGAGGCGGATCATTTTGCAATTGGAATTACAAAATGTAAATTTTTAGCAACTGAAATAAAAATCTGAAAGTATTTTTTTCAGTTACTAAATCTCGCAATTGGAAATTCAAAATTTAATAGTTTTCGGTTAAGTAAATAAGGTATGGTGCATATAATCAAGACATCTCTGAATATGCCCATTCACGAATCAAGAGGTAGCAAATACCAATTGTAACGGCTTAGGCACAGCCAGAGACTACATGTAAGCCAACAACTTCCAGTACTCGAGGATAGAATGATACAGAATTGCCGAGGATTTGAATTCTAGAGTCAAAAAATAGCAACACAATGACATAAAGAAAGATTTAAAAAAGAAACAAGTAATAATTGAGCTACACAACATGCAATAGAACCTTATGTAATTTTGTACATTTTGGCTCCAGAAGGATAAACAATTCTCGGCCAAAAAGACAATACAAAAATTCTATTGATTTAAAGAAAAGCCACATTTCTAATTCTAATTACAATTACCGAGATTAGCATTAAACTCTTGAAATTTTTTTTTAACAGATGGACAAAAAATCTATTTATATCGGTATAGCAATACAATATGTGATTTTATGAAATCATTTCAAATTATTGATGTCCGCGATGAGTTTCAAGTACATTAACATTAGCAAAGCTTAGCTAGAAATGACTCATTGTAGATGAGCAGTTGAAAAGAGTATGCACTAGATCAAGCAGCAGACTCTAAAGGTTAACATGGACAGGACCTCACCTCACTTTGTAAAGAAAATCAGGTTTTATAATACATTGTACTTGGCACACGAAACTGTAAGTTGGGTCTTGTAAACTATGAGGAGCGATGATGTTGATATTGCATCCATTTTGAAAGTTGCCTGATGAAGGTACCGTTGATATATTATATCGAATATTCACATGAAATACGCCAAATTGTTATAACATTGAAATAAGTATATATATATGTTCAAACAACAAATAGTTTTATATGTATACTTTGAAGATTTGTTATACAAAATTGTTGTTTGATTTTATATGTATTAAATGAAAAAGGGGAAAAAGCAACTATAGACAACAACGCAAGTTTTATTATCTTGATTTGTAATTGAGTTTGACTTTAGCAAGATACATTGAAGCGTTCTTTTGAGAAATAGATCTTTCTAACATTGTTCTTTTATGAATGTAAGACTTATTCAAAAAATAAAGTTCCAACACCCTCAGGCAATATTGACCTTATATGGATTTTGGCTGTTAGTTTAGATAGCTTGTGCACGTGGTTATATAGTTCTTTACAGGCTCCTGCATTTTTGGTTATATTTGGTTTTCAGATAGTTGTATTAAACGTTCCTTATGAAGTTAATTTAAGAACAGCTCCTCGGACTCAAAAACTCAAATAGCAAAAATACCGAACTCCAAGGAAGTTATTTTCAGTTTTTTAGAATAAAAGAAAGTAATTTAAAATTCTTGTGTTTTATTTCTTTGCCTCACCGGTTTTTATACTTATAAAGAAAAGGTGAATATAGAAATGATTTGAAAATATTAAGTACCGTGTTTACATGTATATGATAGATGTATGTATCTAAACTCCCGTAAACATGTTGATGTAAAGTTGTAATCCACCAGAAAGGAATTTTCACCATAACAATTGTCTTCTATAATCTGTGTATCATTGACATTTAAAACACACGGATTTAGACGAAATTTTTTTTTATCATTTTTTTTTGGCAAATTGTCAGGATGAAAACTGCAATAAAACTTGAATTCTCTGATATATTGATTTTGGCGTATTATGTCGTGGAATGATGGTTTCCTGTACATGTTTACCTCGGTTGTGTCGAGCTGGCCTCGTCAGGTTACACTTAAGGGTTTCAAGTTCATAGTTTTTGCATCTCATTTATAACAGTTACAGCCATGTTGTATCGGTACTAGTGACAAGACTGAAAGGGAAGAGGTCAAAATAACGTGTCCTAGATAGACGACATGTCTGTCTGTGGTATGCTTCTTAAGTTGGTACTAACATGTTCAAAATTCTCCGCAGTTCGTCAATCGATGTGATTACAAAATATATACAGCATGTAAGTTAAAAATGAATTATTCAAATGTCACATGATTGTAAAAGAAAAAATCCTACCTGCTGTATTTATCGTTGATATATTAAAACTTTGAAAAAGTATAAATATTGAGAATACATATATCCGCAAGTGATTCATTTTAAATATATCGGATACTTGTAGTAACGTTCAGGAAGTGTAATGTTTAACAAGAATTAGTTTGTTAATGTGTGTGGTAAGATAACTGAAATTCTACACTTAAAAACAACATATAATATAATTGACGTGGGAAGTATTTTACATTTTTGTTAGAAAATACAGTGACTTTCCTGTTCTGTTGTGTGTATAAAATCCTTTCAACCATGACTTTAAATCACTGTAAATAGCTTGAATAGAATTAAATCCTTCAAGATATATACTTTACAAATTTTTGTTATAAATAACTTAATTGAAAGTTATCATGATTTCTTCAACTTTTTTTTTAAAATTGATTCATAAATAGTATAACCTATCATATTGACAAGCTCCTATTAATTTTGGTGACTTAAGGTGGTACCAAACAACTTGACTAAAATTAATTTGGTTTGTTTAATTTTCATAAAATTTTGACAAAATATTTACTTTGACCCTTTGACAGAAATATAAAAATTTCAAAAAACTTGAACCACACACTTTATCGGATAAATTTCATTGGATATATAGCAGTTTGACAAACACTAATTTTGATCATTCAGAAGCTTTATAATTCCTTAACAATAGAACGTGATTAAAACGTTCAGCTGATTTTTACAGAGTTGTTTCCCTTGTAGTGTTATGTACCACCTTTTATATGATGTGTTATATGTTTGCTTTCTTATTATCTTGAACCCTGTCATGTACCACAACATTTTATTAATATACTTATTTTTGATAATTCAAATTTCCCGCATTTTTACACGTGCTTTTACTGTTTGAAACACGTGTTATTTCTTATCAGTTTCATTTAGATTCCCACATGGCATTGTGAAGAAAGATTGTGTTTCGCTTTCGATAGTTTCGATTTTCGTGCAATCTTTGGTAAACTACAGTGTGAGTTAATTTTTTATATTATTTTATTTTATAACTTTAAGTAAATATTTCATATTTTTGATAAGTTTAAGCAATTAATTATCTACGTTTTCTTTGTTTGAACTGCCGATTAACGTGCACACAGGTCATGTTTGTTTACATCAGCATTTTGTATGTTTTGCATTATGTACACCGTTTATTTTAGAATAATTAATTATTTTAGCGTTAAAGTTAAAATTTTATTCTTGCAATTGTATTTTTCTTATTAAATTTAAGCTAAATAACTTTTTAGTAGTACAGAGTTGCTAGCGGGTACAAAATCTATGGAACGCCGTGAGTGCCATCTTTACACCTGTATTCCTATTTTTATATTTTTTTACTTTATGGAATGCAATTAATGCCAAAGTTGTTTTACGTTAATTTTGCTATTTACTTCATGTTTGTTTATGTTTTGAACTTATAATTATTCAAAGGAATTTTTATACTTAAAAATAAATGTATGGAGGTCAATGAGTGTCATTTTGACAATGTTTATTTTCTTGTAATTTTTCGGTAAATTACGGCATTTGAGTTTATGATTTTTTATTTTTCTCTTTGTAGCTTTTTACTATATGTATTATGTGATTATCTGCAACGATGAAGCATATTAATAAAGAATTTGAAACTAACGTAGTTTGAAGACTTAAAAGTAAAAAGACTGTATCCTTTATTTTATGGAAACTGAAGATGAAATAAACGATGACGGTCAAGGCAACCTACCGTTTATTATTGATGATTCAGTTAAAACACAATCACATGAAGACGTAAAGCCAAAACGGGTGAGAAAGTTAACGTCCGGGGGACAGGAAATGTACGAAAAAGACGTTGAAAAATACACTGCGGAGCTAATCCACTATAGGAAGAACCTAGATATCTTAATCAATAGTTACTACTCAGAAGAACTAGAAACATCAGAGGTTAAATTATTGCCAGACAGAATTAAAACGGAACTGTCAAAATATCAACAAATTTCAGAAAAATTCATCGGCTTTCTGAACAGATACAGAACCGCAGAGAGCGCCCGGGAAGAGGCGACACAAAAATTAATCTACAAAAGTATAATGTCAAAGGCTAAAACATTTTTAAATGAGATCGACATTAAATTGAAGCAGGCACAATCAGCAAAATCTTTCGCTACTGGTAGAAAATCTAGATCCTCCTCCGCAAGTTCAATGCTAATTAAACAAAGAGCAAAAATGGATGCTGCTAAGACGAATCTGCGCTTTGTAAGTAAAGAGGCAGAACTTGAAAGATTACAATTTAAGCTTGAAGAGGAAGAACTTAAAACAAAAGCAGAATTATTAAAGAAGAAAGTCGAAGCAAAGTTACAAATGGAACTTTTAAAATCAGAGAAAGAATTTGCAATTGCTGAAGCTGAGTTTAATGCCGTCCGTGAAGAGTTGGAGATGGAGGGATCACGAGCTAGTGGTAGATCCATGGCGTCAGTTGTTGATCCTCGTCAACACATCGAGAGGTATCTACAGGGACAACAGGAAATAATGAAATCAGGATATACAAATCCTCAACAAATGCAACCTCCAGAGTTCAACGTTCACGCCGCACCGTTTGAACCTAAATCCGAAGATATTAGACAAACAAATTATGAAATCAACAACGTTTCCGTGGCAAACGAACTCTCAAAGTTCTTATTAAAGAAGGATTTATTGATGTCTCGTTTTATGAAATTTAAGGATCAAGCAGAGTCTTATCATGTTTGGAAAGCTTCGTTTTCCAATATAACTCAAGAACTTAGCGTCAACGCTCGTGAGGAACTTGATTTATTGATGAAATGGCATGGGCCAGAATCATCAAGACATGCAGAAAGTCTAAGGTTAGCCAATGCAAGAGACCCAGTAAAATGTCTGAAGCGGGTATGGGAAAGACTTGAAGAGAGATATGGCGGACCAGAAATGATTGAAACGAATGTGAAATCAAAATTGAATAAATTTCCAATAATTACCAACAAAGACCACAAGAAATTATATGAACTTAGCGACATTTTAACAGAAATCGAATCCCTGAAAGAGGACGAAAGATACGCACAGTTATTGTCTTACTTTGATACTTCGCTAGGCGTTAACACCGTGATTACTAAATTACCATATGGGATTCAGAACAAATGGATTGATAGAGCCATGCGATACAAGCAAAACCATACCGCACTGTATCCACCATTTCCGTTTTTCGTCGGTTTCATCAGAGAAATGTGCAAACAATTCAATGACCCAGGCTTTGCTTTTAAAGAAGACACCAAACCTCAACACACAAAATCGTATCCTAACAACAATAGATATAACAACAAAGTCACAGCTAGAAAGACAGATGTATCACAAGAAAAACAGTTTAAATCTACTAGCTCGACTGAAAAACTTACAGAATGTCCTATTCACCATTCAAAACACTCGTTGAACAGCTGTAGAGGATTCCGAATAAAAAGTACAAATGACAGAAAGAAAATTCTTCGAGAAAATAACATCTGTTACAAATGTTGCGAGTCAGCAACGCACATATCTCGAGATTGTAAGGAGTCCGTCACATGCAAAGATTGCGGAAGTAACCGACATTCAACAGCTATGCATATTGATAGGAATGATCAAACTACAAGAGAAATAGAACCCGTTTCCTCTCATGGCGGTGAGGGATCATTGCTTCAAAATGTAGAAACGAAGTGTACTGCAATTTGTGGGGAAGGATTTTCTGGAAAATCCTGTTCAAAGGTGGTACTTGTCAATGTTTACAAGAAAGACGAACCTGAGAAATCCGTACATCTTTATGCTTTAATGGACGATCAAAGTAATCGTTCACTAGGCCGTACAGAGTTATTCGATGCACTAAATATAGATTCAGCTGTTCAACCTTACACTTTATCTTCCTGTGCAGGAAGTGTCTAGAAACAAGGCCGTCTTGCTAGCGGGTTAGTCGTAGAACATATAGATGGACGAATAAGAATGGATTTACCTACTGTAATTGAATGCAACGACATTCCTGAAACAAGAAAAGAAATTCCAGTGCCAGAAATCACAAAATATTACGAACACTTGAAGCGTATTACATTACCGCCTATAGATCCTGATGCACATATTCTCTTATTGATCGGCAGAGACTTGGCCGATGCACACCACGTCTATGAGCAAAAACAGGAGCTCAAAACACGCCATTTGCACAACGACTCAGTTTAGGATGGGGCATTATCGGTGAAGTATGCTCAGACCAAACGCACAAGCCTAATTCGAAAGTAAACATGTATAAAACAAACATTCTAAACAATGGGAGGCCGACATCCTTTGATGTATGTAAAAACGTCTTTAACGTCACAGAAACTGTCAACATACGCAATCACCAAGATACCGTGGAAGATCAGATTTTCCACAGGACAAAGGACGATAATAAGATTGGCATGTCCATAGAAGACCATGTATTTATAGACATCATGGACAAAAAATTTGTCAAAGGTGAAACAGGCAATTGGAGTGCTCCTTTACCGTTCCGGAAGAATAGACCTCGATTACCTGACAACAGATCTCAAGCATTAAGAAGGGCTAGAATGCTCGAACAGTCTCTTAAAAAATGTACGAGTAAGCGTCAGCATTTTGTAGAATTCATGGGCAACGTGTTTCGTAATGGTCATGCAGAAGAAGCTCCAATTTTGAAACAAGGCGAAGAATGTTGGTATCTGCCTTTATTTGGAGTGTACCACCCTAAGAAAAAAGATAAAATTAGAGTTGTTTTCGATTCTTCGGCTAAACAGGATGGCATATCCTGTAATAATGTTCTACTCTCTGGACCGGATTTTACAAATAGTTTTGTTGGAGTATTGCTTAGATTCAGAAAAGAAAGAATTGCTGTAATCGCCGACATGAAGCAAATGTTTTATTGTTTCAAGATAAACAGTGCACACCGTAACTATTTACGATTCTTTTGGTACAAGAACAACATTCCTGGACAGCAGCTTATAGAATACAGAATGTGTGTCCACGTTTTTGGGAACACACCGTCACCAGCAATTGCCACATACGGGCTAAGGAAATGTGTTGAAAATGAACAAACCGAAAGCGATGTCAAAGAATACGTTAATAGAAATTTTCATGTGGATGACGGACTGGCTAATTTTACAAATGAGGAAGAAGCTATCAGTGTCCTTAAAAGGACTCAGCAATCTCTACTTGAAAACGGAAAATTGAAACTTCATAAAATTGCATCGAACAGTGAAAAAGTTATGAACGCATTCAATCCAGATGAGTTGGCTAAAGAGCTCAAAACCTTAGATCTAAACGAAGATGAGCTACCTATTCAGCACAGTCTTGGAATGAGTTGGGACTTGCAACAGGACTCGTTTAGCTACAAATTATCAAACGAAGAGAAACCTATAACACGTAGAGGTGTGTTATCATCAATAAATAGCTTGTTCGACCCATTAGGTTTTATCGCCCCTGTCATTCTACAAGGTAGAATTCTAATGAGAGATATAATTGCCGAAACCACTGACTGGGACTTACCACTATCTAATGATATTCAGCAAAAATGGCTTGAATGGAGAAACTCTTTAAGGCCAATAGAACAATTTTCAATACGAAGAACATTTGTAGAATCGTCTTTCTGTACAAGCTTGGACAAGCAGTTACACATTTTCTCGGACGCCTCAGAACAGGCAATAGCAAGTGTAGCTTTTTTGAGAACATCTAACGCAGAGTTTTCTATGAACACCGGTTTCGTATTCGGAAAATGCAAAGTGGCACCAAAACATGGCCATACAATACCACGATTAGAACTATGTGCCGCAGTTATGACTGTTGAAATAGGAGAGATATTCTGTGAACATCTAGATATGAACTCGGCTGAGATAAAGTACTATACAGATAGTAAGGTATTGCTAGTTTACATTAACAAACAAGTTAGACGTTTTCAAGTCTATGTTGCAAACCGAGTTGGTAAAATTAGGAAAGCTTCAAAACCGGAACAATGGACGGATGTAAATACTGATCTTAATCCAGCCGATATTGGAACAAGACTTATATTTGCAGATCAGCTACAAACTAGTTCTTGGCTTACAGGACCCACATTTTTACAGGAATCTGACACGCTTAGTCAAAGCATTGCTACTACTTTTCCTCTCATAAATCCTAACACTGACAAAGAATTGAAAACAGAAATACAAGTCATAAAATCTGTTTTAAAATGTGATACCCTTGGGTCACAAAGATTCAACCGATTCTCCAATTGGTGGTAATTATTTCGTACCATTTCACGCCTACAGCGACTTGCTAGTAGTTACTCTCACAACAAATTAAAGGACAATTTGGAGTCAAACGAGCTTGACGCTCATCGAAAAGCTGAAATTTTTATCATTATAGAAGTTCAAAAGGAGGACTTTGGTAGAGAAATCGAGTGTCTCAGAAATAAAAGGCCTCTGCCTAACAACAGTTTCGTGTTATCTTTGAGTCCCGTCTTGGACGAAAATGGAATTTTGAAAGTAGGGGGAAGACTTCGAAATGCTAAAATCACATCAAAAGAAAAAACACCGATCCTTATTTCTGGAAAACATCATATTGCTACTTTGCTTGTCCGTCACTACCATTACGATGTACAACATCAAGGGAGACATCTTACTGAAGGTAACATTCGATCTGCTGGGTGGTGGATTACAGGCTGCAAACGACTGGTCTCATCTATAATTTTTGAATGCGTTAAATGTCGACGACTTCGAGGTTCGTTGAGTGAACAGAAAATGGCCGATTTACCAGACGTAAGATTATCGCCATGTGCACCGTTTAGTTTTGTTGGTGTAGATGTTTTTGGGCCATGGACCATAGTAACCAGACGCACTAGAGGAGGTGTAGCAAATTCTTAGAGATGGGCAGTCTTATTTACATGCTTAGCATCTAGAGCAGTCCATATAGAGGTAATAGAAGAAATGAGTTCCTCTTCTTTCATCAACGCTCTACGCCGATTCTATGCACTTCGAGGCAAAGTGCAAGAATTCCGTTCTGACAGAGGTTCGAACTTCGTTGGATGTACCGACGCCCTGCAAATCGATGCATTAAACGTTGAAGATGGCGAAGTAAAAACACTTCTCAACAAGAATAAGACAATATGGAAATTTAATACGCCTCATTCTTCTCACATGGGTGGCTCATGGGAGCGAATGATTGGAATAGCTCGTAAAATTCTAAATAACATGCTTTTCGACGTGAGATACAAGAATTTGACTCACGAAGTTCTAACAACATTTATGGCAGAGGTAACAGCCATTATAAACGCCCGACCGATTGTACCAGTCTCCACTGATTCTGAGAATCCTACAATTCTGACACCTCTATTATTAACTCAGAAAACATCTGATCAGGGAGATAGCTTTGAAAATATAACATCAACTACATGTATGTACCAATCACACTGGAAATATGTTCAGACATTAGCTGAGATATTTTGGAAACGTTGGAGTAGGGAATATCTGCAAACATTACAAAAGAGACAAAAGTGGAAAAAGGAAGTGACAAATTTGAAACAGGGCGACATTATTCTTATGCGAGAAAAAGACATGGTTAGGACCGAATGGCCAATTGGAACAATATTAAGAACATTCGCCAGCGAAAACGACAATTTTATAAGGAAAATAGAAGTGAGAGTTATTAAACAAGGAAAACCAGTTATTTATGTTCGTCCGATAACAGAGATTGTGAAGCTATTGTCTGAGTGATACTATTGAACAATATTTGAACTGTTGATATGTACATTGACTTTTTTAGTTTAACATTTTAGATAGTAGTTTCAAAAATGTGCCTTAGATTTAGGTAGTCTAGTTAATTTTCTTTTTGAGATTTTTGTTAACGAGGTTTTTTAGCTCATACTTGAAGTCTTAAGTATTTTTGTTTAAAACCTAGGGTGATATTGTTATATCAGACGGGGAGTGTCATATACCACAACATTTTATTAATATACTTATTTTTGATAATTCAAATTTCCCGCATTTTTACACGTGCTTTTACTGTTTGAAACACGTGTTATTTCTTATCAGTTTCATTTAGATTCCCACATGGCATTGTGAAGAAAGATTGTGTTTCGCTTTCGATATTTTCGATTTTCGTGCAATCTTTGGTAAACTACAGTGTGAGTTAATTTTTTATATTATTTTATTTTATAACTTTAAGTAAATATTTCATATTTTTGATAAGTTTAAGCAATTAATTATCTACGTTTTCTTTGTTTGAACTGCCGATTAACGTGCACACAGGTCATGTTTGTTTACATCAGCATTTTTTATGTTTTGCATTATGTACACCGTTTATTTTAGAATAATTAATTATTTTAGCGTTAAAGTTAAAATATTATTCTTGCAATTGTATTTTTCTTATTAATTTTAAGCTAATTAACTTTTTAGTAGTACAGAGTTGCTAGCGGGTAAAAAAATCTATGGAACGCCGTGAGTGCCATCTTTACACCTGTATTTCTATTTTTATATTTTTTTACTTTATGGAATGCAATTAATGCCAAAGTTGTTTTACGTTAATTTTGCTATTTACTTCATGTTTGTTTATGTTTTGAACTTATAATTATTCAAAGGAATTTTTATACTTAAAAATAAATGTATGGAGGTCAATGAGTGTCATTTTGACAATGTTTATTTTCTTGTAGTTTTTCGGTATATTACGGCATTTGAGTTTATGATTTTTATTTTTCTCTTTGTAGCTTTTTACTATATGTATTATGTGATTATCTGCAACGATGAAGCATATTAATATAGAATTTGAAACTAACGTAGTTTGAAGACTTTAAAAACCCCAAATTCATTACAAATTTGTTGTGAATTGCAATGCAATTTTCTATTACTGGTTAAACTGTTATTATAAAGAAATTTCAAGAGATTGAGTCAGCTCTCCAGGACTTTTGTTTCAGATGTAACAAATTTCAATTTCATCCATAATTCAAAGAACGTAATATTATCATAAATAAAAGAAATGTTTTAAACAATAATTCATACAAAGATAACAATATTCACCAATATATAATACTGAACAGCAAAACGTACAACACCAACAACAAACATTCTACTACGACGAAAAATAAAGAAAGACACTAACAAAGACAAAAAAACAACAATACACGGTCCAGATTGCAGAACCTGGTACGGCTACAAAATTTGGTTGAGTTAAATTATTTTTAAGTGCACGCAAATGTCCCATCCAGACCTTATGTCGCGAAACTAGTATAAAATGTACAGTGTAGTTCAACAGGATGGTAACTTACTTTAAGTAGGAAATAAAATAAAATGCACATAATTTGTAAAGCCAGTTAAAATACACCTGTGATGTATATCTTTTGTTCAAACTCTCCATTATTTTTCAGGAATGGAGAGTTATTTTCTTTTGTTCATCTTCATTCATCCGGACGTTTTGCTCTTTGGATATTCCCATGGGCACTTTCTTAAAAAGTGTTCACCTATGGAAATAATCCTAAAGAACGAAACGCGATATTGAATGAAGATGAAAACTTACTAAAACGACTGATAATGGAGTTGTTTTTAAATAGGGATCGTAGTTATACAATGAACACCAACTATCTCATTATTTATAAACAGGTTTTATTTGCGAGTCGTAATTCCATTGTATAACATATAGTATCGTTTTCACTAAAATTCCACAACATTATCCATATTCTGTTTTTCAATGCAAATCGTGGCTGAATTTTTGTCACGGATAGTATCCAAGCGGGTAAAAACGAATATTTTCTATTGAGTGCCATTCCTCTTCTGTGCATCTACAAAATATCAAATGTGTTTACTCAGTTGAATTATTTTGTGATATTGAACACATTAACATTATTCAATAAGGAAAATTAGTCTTATATGCATGATTTTTTTTATTAGTTGTAATTGGCTTTGAACTAGCTGTCAGTAACTGCGAGTACTCTCAGATCTGTACTTAGTTTTTTTTTGTTGTGGGGATGTATAAGTACCCTGCCACGTCCACTCTGTGTTTTTGTTACTTGTTTTTTGTGCTTATAGTATCTATCGAATGAGTTAAGCCCTTTTCAACTGATGTTTATAGTTTGTTCATATGTTGTACTGTTACACCAATGTCCAAAGTTAGAGGGAGGGTTGGGCGCCCGCTAACATGTTTAACCCCGCCACATTCTGTATGTGCCTGTCCCAAGTCAGAAGCCTGTAATTCAGTGGTTGTCGTTTGTTGCCGTATTTCATATTTGTTTTTCGTTCATTATTTTGTACATAAATCAGGCCGTTAATATTCTCTTTTGAATTGTTTTACATTTTTCATTTCGGAGCCTTTTATAGCTGACTATGCGGTATGGGCTTTGCTCATTGTTGAAGGCCGTACGGTGACATATAGTTGTTAATTTCTGTATCATTTGGTTTCTTGTGGAGAGTTGTCTCATTGACAATCATACTACATTTTCTTATTTTTATATTCACTTACAGATTTGATTTTAATTTTACCGTTTAAGATATCATTTGCTTGAAATTTAAAGTGTTGTATTTTGATTTTGTACAGCAAAAATCGTTTGTTCTATTTAATAATAAATGTACATTAACAAAAGAAATATTACTCGGATAGTTTCTACAACAATATTGTGGTGAAATAGAATAAATAGTTCAAGAAACTGAAACGGTCAAAATGGCGTATTCGGTATATTATTTGATTTTTATTGTTATAATTTGAATATAGTATCAATGAACAGAATTTGAGGGGGTATGGATAACATTTGAATAAGACTTCAATTTAATATTGGGTGGGATTTTTATTCAATTTTCAACAGAAACGCGTAACATAATCGAATTCCTTTACTGTTGTTTTTGTCCAGTGGCAAATATAACAGTTATATCGGCAGTGCAAATGACGGCGTTAATCTTGAAATGTTTTAATGAAATCAAAACGTAGTTTTACACTCAAGTTAAAGACTTACAAAACGCAATCTAGAAATGTTTTTAATCACGCGCCTCCTTTCTGATAATAGGACATAATGAAAAATATTTTCAGTTTGCTTGTATTGCTATTCAAGACTTATCCGCTAAAACATGCATAACATTTTTTTCGTTGTAATGAGCAAAGGGAAAGAAAAAAATGTTGGGTTATGCATGAAACATGAAAAACTGATTTCTTGCTTAATTATATATGATTTAATAGAATGGTTTGAAATATCGAATCAAATTTTGTTTCAAATATGACTTATAATCGATCACACCCTCATTAGTTGAATAACCTATACTAGAGTGTTACATACCTGGAAATTTTCTTCTAGTTTTTATTTTACCATGTCATTTTTATCAGACGATTCTATATCCAAGATTTATCAAACGAAAATCACACATAATCCATTAACATATATGCATAAATACTAGTTTTTTTCTCTCTAGAAATACCACTTAAAGACACAAATAAATATCCTTTCAATCCCACTACAAGAAAGACGTGCGTATCCAATGACTTAAAAACATAAATCTGGATGAACTTAATCCAAGATCTTTTTATAGTAATTATTCTACTGTTCATAAATACTTCGTTAAGTGAGTAGATGGTCAGCTTGATCTTAGATTTTGCCTGTGGATTATTGGGTACAACACGTGGAAATGAAAAGAAAACCATTACAAAATGAAATAATTTTTTTTAAATGTTATAATCTAAAGATTCGTTCTTAATATTTAAGGTGTATTTTAAGTTAGCGAAAGTCCAAATAACTGTCCATTCCTGGGAAATAATGACCGTCGGTCCTACGGGCCTCCGCTCCATTATTTCCCAGGAATGGACATTTATTTGGACTTTCTCTATAACGTCATTTGGTCTCTATTGGAAAGGTGCCTTATTGGGAATCATACCACAACTTCTTCTTTGTATATCAAATGTACAGGGTATTACGATGATAAAGGATCTAAGATAGCCATAGCAATAGGTTAGATACTGATAATCAAGAAAAACAAAAATAACAGACAAACCGGTTACATGAATTATATTCATAAAAAAGTGTTGGTCGTATGCGTGAGACGTCAGTTAGTATTTAAATTGTCAGCTCACGGGAGAAAAGAACCATAATGATATTAACTGACCTAAAGAGATAGTTTGTGATGGCGAAGTTCAGTTCCAGTTTTTCAACGTTGTGCCTGTACAGACATGTCTAACAAATGACGATATTAACCAGGTTTTTTTGGGGGTTTTTTTGGGTTTTTTTTAGCAGAATTTGGTTTTTGGATTAATACATTTACATTGTTTCATTAGCTAAGGATAAAAATAGACCTTTTCAACTCTCGACACCAACTAATGACCCCTACTGTGTGAAATGGGGGAGAGGGGGGGGATGGGGGGTCGGCGTATCAAAGACTAACAAAACCTGTAGGTATATCAGAAGACAGGCGAAGGATACCAAAGGGACATTCAAACAAAGTATTCGATTTGAACGGTATTATTTTGAAAAAGAACGGATCTTGAGTAAATTGCTTTTTTCCATATTTTCTTTGTATGTTTTTCTTTCTCTCTTATAATAATTATTATATGTATACGTGAATTCAAAGACCATTTCACATTCAATTCTATACATATCCAAGACAAAAAAATGTACGGCAATCAATTCATATCCCATTTCATTGTTTCTTCAGTTGTATGATATTTAATATTAAGACGTACGAGTTTTCCATTTTCACCACCTGCCGATAGTCATTAACTCGTTTTCGGAATGACTTTGTAAGATTACATCCCCTAACAACAAAGTTACGCTGAGGATATTGTAACGGGACTATCCTAAAAAGGACATGCGAAATATGTAACTGTTCTGTAGAAAT